GTCTTTTAGTTGTATTTTTGAAGTGGTTGTTCGAGGCAGCAAACTCTGGCGTTAACCTATGCCACCATCTTGGTTTTTCCGCTGCAGTATACTTTGAAATCAAGAAGTGTGATGCTTCCATTAAAAGTATCCAGAAGCCATTTCAGGCTCCAGGAGAAGCCCAATTCAATGACAGATGCAGGCTGATTAGAGCCCAAACCTTTGGCAACAGTTGGGAAAATATGCAGTCAAACCCCTCCCAGGGAGAAGGGAACTGCCTTGTGTTTCTGCCTCCTCCCTCTGTGCTGATGCCAGGGACATAACCATGGGGAGTGTTTGTGTACACATTTAAAAACTGCCTCTGTTTCCTGTGGTGATGTGGACTCCCAAAAGCCAAGCCATGTTGGCTCTCAGAGCTAGATGATTTGGGATCCTGGCTCTCAGGTTTTTCATAAAAGTTAGAGCACTACGCATATGGTTCAAACCCTTTGGTCTTTATGGGTAAGTTGAGTTAGGGATTCCCTCCTGGCTGTAAGGTACTATAACAAGGATGGGTTTAGGATGTATGTCTCAGCTTTTCATATCTATTATGTAGTCGGTATTTTTGCAGTTCCCTAATGTGTAAAAGTCACTCAACCAGCTTCTGGATTTCTCTCTGAGGGAATTGTTTTGTGTGTACCTGTATATCAGTGTGTTCCTGGGAGCAGGGAAATCACAAACCCCCTATTCTTCCACATTGTTGACATCAGTGAAAAGTCATTAATTAAGTTTAAGCTTTTAACAAGGTCAGTATTAGGGCAAATTTATTTCATATATATCATTGGGAAAAATAAAAGAGTGATAAAAGATACATTAGACACCAATGAAAATGACAGATTTGTAAGGCAAAAATGATCAAATACTGGAAATGAAATACTGGCTCTGTCCATCCAATATCTTTCCCAGGTCACATTGCTTCCTCCTTTCTCTCTGTCTCTTCCACTTCTGTTTTTATAAAAATACATGGCATTAGGGCCACCTGATAAGCCAGGATAAGTGTAATCTCTGCAAAAACCTCCTTTCCCCCCAAATAAGTAACATTCATATTTTTATCAAATAAGTTCAGAATCACATATTGGGGTTGGGGGTTAGGATATGGACATATTGTCTTCAGGGTTGTCACTTAATGCACAATAGATGCCCTCCGATTGACGCCATAGAAAATCCTTTTAACATTTGACCCAGGTAAGGATTGTTTTCTGTCTCTGGGCATTATGTCAAGTATGACACTTATATTTGCTGCCATCTGTTCTTAGTGAACCTGAGAAAAACCATTCTTAGAAAGAATTCACCAAATAGAGGAATGGATGATTTCTACTCTCCTGTTCTTGAAGTCCTTACCTCTGAAGTCCTTGTAATGACAGACAGCTCTCTTAATTGTTTGACCACATAAACATATGTTTTAGGAATTTCTTTTCTTATTAGATCCAAAGCCTTTCTCACTGATGAAGTTCAATTACCTCACAATCATCTCTCACTACTGAGATGATATAATTATGCTCATTTTATAGTTAATGTAACTGAGTATGGTGGATGCTAATGTTACTCAAAGGTTTCAACAGATCCAAGTTTCAACACCAAGTTAAAATGAATTTGGTCATTATATTCTGATTATTTAAGAAAAATTATCTCAGAAATTGCTAAATTTCTGAGAAAGAAAGGTGAGCTTCCTTGCTTCACTGTGGGCTTAACTTTGGGTTTCAATTGACATGGCCCTATCATGGGAGAAGGGGGAAGACGGTCTCTAGAAGTGACCGCAGAATGCTTCCATTCTTTTTCCGTATTATCCATATTCTACTCCTATTCCTCTTCTGAGAGTTATTTATTTAAATATTACTAATCCTTTCAGCACTGCCTCCAGTTCTGATTATATGGAACCTGAGAAAAGAGGTTGAGTTAAGAATTAAAATAATTTGTTAAACAACACAGAAATTTAGGAAATTCAGGTTTCAACACCAAGTTAAAATGCATTTGTTCCTTATATTCTAATCACTTAAGAAAAAATTGGTGATGGAAGAATTAGGCATTCAGGATCTCCCACAATTTTTATCACTATTATTCATTCTAAATATCCAAGTTGAAAGTAGATGACACAGTCACAAACATGAAGGTATTCTATCAATGAGTTTCTTCAAGGCCCCCTTCATGTCTTTGTTCCTCAGGCTGTAGATAAAAGGGTTCATCATTTGAGGAATCACAATGTACATCATTGAAGCCACTGAAGTCTTTCTAGGAGAGTCAGTAACTTCAGAGGTAATGTACACTCCAACAACTGTCCCATAGAACAACAAAACAACTGAGAGGTGAGACCCACAGGTCAAAAAACCTTTATACTTTCCACCAGCTGATGGTATTCTCAAAACAGAGGAGACAATTTGAGTATAAGAGAAAATGATCCCCAAGAGAGGTATACCACCAAGGAGGCTAGCCATAAAATATATGAAGATGTTATTGATGAGGGTATCAGAACATGTAATCTTGACGAGTTTAGCAAGCTCACAAAAAAAGTGAGGGATTTCCAGGTCCTTGCAGAAGGAGAGCCGCAACACCATCAGACTGTGGAGCAGGGCATTCCCAATGCTAATGAACACAGAGAGTGCAATCAGCAGGCCACAGAAATGGGTGTTCATGACAATGGTGTACCTCAGTGGGTGACAAATGGCCACATAGCGGTCATAGGCCATTGCTGCAAGGATAAAATTTTCCAAACCAACAAACACCATGACGAAGCAGATCTGGGTGATACATCCTATGTAGCTTATGCTCTGATTGTGTGTTTGGATGTTCACCAGCATCTTTGGGATCGTGGTTGTGCTTAAACAGATGTCATTAAAAGACAGATTGGAGAGAAAGAAGTACATGGGTGTGTGCAGGTGGGAGTCAGAGACAGCAGCCAGGATGATGAGCAGGTTTCCCAGAATGGTGGCCAGGTATATGGACAGGAACAGGTAGAAGAGGAGGGACTGCAGTTTTGGATCATTGGTCAGTCCCAAAAGAAAGAATTCTGAAATATGTGATTCATTTCTGGGCTCCATGTTGTGGGTGAATCTGATGGAAAAGATGGAGTGAAAATTAAATACTAGTAAGTGGTTCTTAGATGAGCAGCAGCAGCATTACCTAGGAAACTATTAGAAATGCAAATTCTTGGTACCACTCCCCTCTTACTGCTGACAAACTTCGCAGTAAGGACCAGCAACCTGAGATGTAGTACTTTAAAAAAAAAGAAAAATATATTTGTGTATTGAGAACCCATATGAATATACAAATCTTTCCCCCTGCTAATTTTCTCTCCATCATCATCTCTTACACCTCCTCTTCCCTTCACTCACATTTTGACCCAATTTTTTAAGGCTCAACATTTCTGTTTACATATTATGCCAAGTGCTAAGACTGAAACAAAGAACAATACATGGCATCTCTTTCAGAAATATTCTTTTGCCTTCAAACAATCAGAAAGATGAGAATGAAGTAATTTGATCTCTCTCATAGAATATTGTTCCCCAAACTTTGACATGTCCAGAATCACCTGGAGGGTTTGTCAAATCACTGACGAGCTAGCTTATATTATGACCCAGTTACCTGTAGGAAACTTAGCTAAATGAAATTAAGTTATGAACACAGGAGAGAAGGTCTGAGTACATACAAGTTTTCTGATTGTAGAGTTGATTGACTCATTGTTGTTAATGCTCTGAAAAATAGAGAATTGGCATTTCTAAACTGTCACTCAGTTTTCATAACTTCCTTTTAAATTTTTAATATTTCATCTTAAACAATGCCTGGATCTTCTCACTTACCTAAAAGGTATGTCCACCTCTATCCATGAAGTAATGTGTGGCAGATCATGGCATCCATTCAGGTATACACTCAGCACCTGAGCATGTATTTAAAAATGTGTCTATAAAATTGAAGCTCCTAAGTTTCCTCCATGGAATCACTACTTGTCTGGATTTGATTTTCATTCCCAGAGAAACTGGACATCTATGGAGATGATATTCACTATCTCATTCTAAGAGGACTTTTTCTCCTAAGGTGCTAAGTGGCATATCATAAAAAAAAAAGAATGCTAAATGAGAGAAAGAATTAAACCCATATGCTCATAGAAAAACATACAAATAGTAGCAAGTTTTGGTCCTTGAAAACAGAGACTTAAAGATAATGCAGATTTATAAGAGAACTAGTGACCTGGTGCACGGATTTGTGCACGTTGAAAGGAAATCAATTAGAAGGTGGCCGGTGGGCGGACTGGGCGAGATGGTCCAGACACACCTTAAAGCCAACCTCCCATGATCCCTCCCTGGCTGGCTGCACCTGGGGTGGTGCTGTGGCTCCAAGGGCACCTGCAGAGTGAGTGGGGTCCCTCTGGGAGGTAGGGTCCTTTGGCCTGGCCTGCGGGGATTGGGCCGAAACTGGCTCTCTGACATCCCCTGAGGGGTTCCGGAGTGCAAGAGAGCACTCTGCAAAGTTGCTGTCGTACAAGGTGTGGAACACAAACACAAGTGTGCAGTAAACCAGATTCGGGGCCGACAGTACCCCAACAACAACATAACCCAGGGCAGAAGGTAGAATCACGTGGCTCCGTGAGGAATCAGGCTCCCTCCTCTCTGGTTTCCAG